TGCTGTTATATATATTTTGCCATGCTGTAATACTGATTTTAGACAGCGACAAGCTCTGACATATTGCGACGCATCAGAAGAGGCTGTGATTTCAAAGAAGCAACGATATCGTTTTTTTTGTGTCACATTCATTTTAGTGCATAACTTATTCTCATAGTTTTCGATAACGTCGATATTTCATTTTTAAGCAAAATTTTTGCGTTTTTGTGGTAATTGTGAGATGTGTTGGTAAGGTGTTTTGAAAGCTTAAATCGTTTGATTTGTTTTCTTCAAAGTCCAAAATGAAGAGAAAGAATTTGTGTAATGAGTATGCCAACGAAGAAAAAGAAGAGAAGAAAAAACACGTTGCCTAATGGCTAATGACAATTTCTTAATTGTCGCTGAAGACCATTGTGTAACCATTGTGTGCATACGTGACAGAAAGAATGTATCAACGCAGTCTTGGGATTCTTATCATTCGGATTTCTGTTAATCAGGTTTTTCTTCAAAGATATCGTTGACTGTTTGCTACAATATGATTTTTGCCATAATCTTTATTATGAGATTCGTTATGCAAACACGCATGGGACCAAGTGCTAAGCGTGCCCTCTCAAGCACGGTGGACATAGAAACTTATGACTACATACAATGTTGGACGATGGTTAAGACACTGATCACAGCTTATGCAGCGTATCTACAGTGATCGAATAGTTCCGTAGTAGTCGTAGTAGCCACTGTGCCCACGCAGTTTTATGATGACCAAAATAGCATCGTTAGAGTCATTTTTAGTTTTATACAAAATTAAGGCAGGCATTCAAATTTGTCTACAAATGTACGATAACAATGGTGCCTTTGGTCGTCATTATAACAGCATGGATGTGTGACATGAAGAAAGTTGATTTAACGGGTAATAATCAGAATAGAAAAGAAACGATGAAAACTTTGATGAATGAGCGGTTGTGACGAAGATGGCAAGTGCATGAAATTGCCCAACGAAAATGTGGATCCATTGCCGACCGATGGAAAGAAGTATGTGATTCGAATGACAAAACATTTATGGCTCTAGTGCGACGCAACATAAGAAAGCGAAAAAATTGGCAAGTGTGAAGAAACCTGGCCATTCAATGCTTAAAATGATATATGAATGGGGATCATCAAAGTGTGCTACGATTGTAAGCCAAAATGGATTGTTGTTTTACCGGAAATAATCATTACTACGTTTGGCAAACGTATACTCGGACAAGATCGAAGAATCATCAACGATTTGATTGGATTTGGTGGTCAATGAAGCGAATCAAGTTGCAGCACAATCAAATCAACATATGAATCGTTGCGGAGAAAAAGTAGCTCTTATTTTTCTCCAAATAATACTGCAACATAAAGTTTTTTATACCGTGTGAAAAAAACTTCATGTTGCAGTATTATTTGGAGAAAAATAAGAGCTACTTTTTCTCCGCAACGATTCATATATGGATATGGAGCATTTAGTATCAAAGATAAATGTTATCTACAAAAATTGGTCAGTAAATCTCGAGAATGCTGAATTGGTGGCAGTTGGTCCACTATTTGAAACACAAGTAGGGACAGTTGTTTGGGACAGCGATATTGTTGCAGCGAAGAACATTCTATTCAAAGGTATTAAATTTATTGTAACTAGAGTTTGTTCATTATTTAATATTTTCTACCGAGTATCACTTATAGTCGGCTTTCAATGCGACTCGATTTAAGAAGCGCCATCTCTATCACGCCAGGTTCTCATATATTTTTTTCTTGCAAATAAAATTACAAAATTGTATAAATTGAATAAGTTTTGCATAATTAATAGAATTTATAATAAATAAAAAAAATTGAAAAAACACACAAATATTTTATATTATATGATTCACCAGAATAGCTTCAATTCGTGTTGTTTACGTTGTTTCTTTTGACAGGTATGAATGTTTGACAAATACATATTTTCTACACGTAACCATCTCTACATGGTCTACAAGGTAAAGCTACATATCATATAATATGAAATATTTGTGTGTGTGTTTTTTTTTTAATTATTTATTATAAATTCTATTAATTACAACCATCATGACTGAGAGATTTCATGTTGTAAAAACGCCATCTGGTAATGTGTGCGAATTGTGGTTGAAAACAACCGATATCAAAATTTAGTCAAGACAGAATCCAACAATTCTGTCTTTGTAATTACATACATTGATAACCACGTCAACAGATGACGCATTATTCTGCGACTTTTTTCCCGCCTATATTAATATACAGGGACTCATAGTGGTTGATTAATTATTTTCGTTATTATTATTGCAAAACTTATTCAATTTATACAATTTTGCTATTTTATTTGCAAGAAAAAAATATATGAGAACCTGGCGTGACAGAGATGGCGCTTCTTAAATCGAGCCGCGTTCAAAAACATTGTCAATATACAACGTAAGTGATCCTCGTTTTCTACTTCTTGTTTGGCATACCATTGCCTGATTCATTGAAAAGAGCCGCAGAGAATCCACCCAATGCGATCAATTCGAACAATGGAAACTGACAAGCAGCAACAGCAGCCTCAAAATCTAAATCGATAATATAAAACGAAAACCATAATAACCATGTTATGCCGCTGTACGAATAATATAGTTTGTGACTATATGAGGTGGATATAATTGATGACGTAGGTGAGTATCGATTTTGAGTTGAATAGTATAGTGATGTTGATTCATACTAATACACATTCAAACCGATTTTTGTCTCTTCGACTTTGAATTTAAACTACACTCAAATCCAGCCACACAATTAACCGTAAACTTGTGCTTGATGATGGATGATTTCGCGTTGAAAAATGTTCTCTGGGAAATTAATTGATGGCATCGCTGAAGGAGGGTTAAATAATGAATCTTAATACTTTTAAGTACTTGCAAATTAGTGGAGATGATAGCAAAACGAAATAAATTAAGAAGTCAATTATTGCACATGAGCCCAGCCAACTATTTAGCTGTATTTTACTATTTTACAGTTGTATTGCACATCAATTTATATTGTGTTTCAAGCGTGTTTGTTTAACGCGTGCTTTGACAAATGAATATGTTATTTTATTTACACACATCCACTTCATTGTTCTTGCGAGTTACTAGATATTCCACTGAAGTGCAGAGATTTTATTATCAGTGTATTAACATGAACAAAGAATGCGAAAGAAATTTTCTAATTTTCATGGCAACTAAGAATATTTCTCATGTAGTGTACTGATATTTTTTGTTTGAAAACTTAATGCAAATAATTGGTAAACTTCAAATAATTTACAGTTAACTAGTTAATAATATATGCTTTTCAAAAAGACTTTAATAATAATTCAAATAAATAAATAAAATATTTCTGGTTTGATGGATGGATACAATGTGGTTACACATTGAGATACACTTTAACTACTAAACTTAAAAGTTATAAGTTTTGCAAACTTGTGAATATAACATGGACATAATGATATAATTTTCTTGGCAAATTAATTTTGTGAAGCATTTGCTCTTTTAAGCCAGAAATGGTGATTTTTGTTTCGAAGAGGTAAAGGAGAAGAGATTTTCAGTGAAAACTTTTGGCGCCAAAATATTATTAAAAATTTGGCCATTATTCATTTCGACAGTACGCGTCTATTGTGATGTGTATGCGGAACGTTTTTTCAATGAAAAAGCTGCTAAAACTTAAGATTCATTCAGAAAAATTTAATGTCCTGATTGGAAGACAGATTTAACAGTATATACTGTTTTCGAATATATTTCAAATTTCGTTTAGTTTCCGGATCTATAGAAAAATTGAATGAATTCAGAAGTATAATTTTAAGAAAATTAGTAGAATTCATCTTCAATGAATTTGATTCAACGTTTGACAAAAAAAACAGATTAATGAACCGACATTCGTGCATGTATGCACAAATGCATGTATGCATAATTCGAAAGATAAATTGCTAAAATTCCTTTTACATAATAAATGTCTTTATATATATTTTTCAAGACATTTAAGTATTTCGTCAAAGGAATCCGTAGCATTGTTTTGTTGTCATCAAAGTTTTTGAACACTATCTTCATATGTTATAATATTTTTTCATGTTTTCTCCTTATTTTAATTTTTATTTCTCCATTTTTTCAATGTTCCTTTAAATTGTGTTATAAATTTTACAAATCAAATGTTCAAACACTGAAATGCTTTTAGTTTTTTAGGTGCCTTAGTACTATAACCATTATGTGTCTGTTCGTTTCTATCAGAACGCAATAAATTTAGACAATGCTGGTGATTTCCTGTAACGTCGTTTGATGTTGATATTTTTGTTGTTGACCGGCAATAGATAATCGAACAACTACTTCTCTTGGATGTCTGCCACTGCCATTGCTGTTGTTGTAATTACGTCAAGCGGGTCCACAGTTGATGCCATTCGATATATTGTTCAAATTATTTTGATTAGCTTGGTTCAGTACGCCACATGCCTTAAGCTCGGTAAATATTTCTGTGAAAAATCCTGGTTCCGCATTGATTCGTAACATGTTACCACTAAGACGATTCACAATCAAAAGACATCTACCAAACAAATTAAATGTGCATCATAAAATTGCGCGAAAAAAATAAAACAATTTCTGAATACCTGTCCCAAAATTTATCCTTTGAATCTTCAACCAAAAATGGTTTTAGTGGATAACTGATTTCATTGCCCATGTATGAATATGACAAATACAAACATGTTAAAACGGATGCTTGTAATTCAGACTCTTTGGTTTCTTCACCGTCGACCAATTCTCGAACCAACATGTAAACGAACACAACTATAAATTAATCCAAAAATGCTATTATTAGATAATTGAATATTTGACATAATCAGATGTATCTACCATTTGCTGGATTAATGAATGCCACATCCTGAATTATATGGTACATTTTAATAAAAGAGAAGAAAATAATGTGTGAATTTGACATAAAGAAATCATACAGCTATATTAATTACCTGCCATCCTTGCAATAAAAGGCTACGATCAACTGCTCGTAGCCACATAACTGCATCACCTGCTTGAAAATCTCTCAATTTTCGGCAACGATCATGCAAAAACATGCCCAGACATTTTAATAGCTCAGAAGTTGAAGCCTATTTTTAGATTTAGACAAGAATATACACTAGTTAGTTAGGTAGATTGTTTAGGCAAGGCAATGAAATCCCTACTAAAGAGCTAGATGGTGACGACAATGGTGATGGGATTTTTAAATTTATTTGAATGATGCCATGTTTCTATACTTGTCCATTATAACGTACAGAAGAAACACACAGTCCATGTCAATAAATGATTTGAAGAATATTTGCAACCGTCAATGTGAACTAGATCGAATTTGCAAACATACGATGAAAACGGTGGGCGCTGGTATCGAAGATTTTTTGTTGAAGATTCAACGAATACGACATCTATTAAAATACATAAAGATTTTTGTTACTAAAGAACACACTGACTCTGATTTTGTGTGTCCGTTTGTATTGAAAATTCTGCACTCAGTCGTCAACCGTAGCTGCTTGTGCAAAATTTACAACACACACGCATACACAGAATCGGCGTCAGTACTAATACGTTTGCAATATAGCTATATAGTTCGCTAGAGCTGTGTCAAGACAGCAGTAGTAACGAAAATCTTTATTGTCTTTAATAGGTCGCGTATTGTTGAATTTTCAACAAATATTTCCATACAAAAAGTTCTTCATCAGCGCCCACCGGATGAAAATGACTTACGAAATATGTTTTAAAATACTATCACTAATGTCTACACCATTCTGACTCAAAATTTTGACATTAAAAATACGTTGTCGTTTCATTGCTGTGGTTTTAAGCTCATTTCAAAATATCGAAAACCGCACATTTTGTATAGGGTGATGCAATCAGTCTGGACTTTATATCAAAATGAAACCAATTTCAATTTAAAAATCGGACATCTTTTATCAACTATATCTATAGATAGGTGTGGTTCTTGAAACCACCAAGAAAAAAAATTTCATGTACGGCATATAAACAACACGTAAAGAAAAGCCATTAGCAAAATCCTTTTGTCAATATTTCAGACAAATGAAATAAAACAAAATATTTAAGTTGACAAAGTGGATACACATAAAAATTATTATAAATTTTAATGATACATTGACCCAATTTAACAACTTTATGTATGAAGTTAACTGTTTCGTATAATTCCACATAATTGAAATGGAATTAGTGTGCCGTTTGAATAAAATAAATCGTAATTTAATTCCGAAATAATGACATTAAGTTTTCGCTTTCGATTTTATGAGATTGGGAATGTTTTTTTATGGCTCAGTGTGACACTTAGTGATGGCATAATTTCAACCGACTGTTGAACACGCAAAATATTAGTTTTTTGCTACATTCACGCATACACCATTAGAAGTTGATGGTCTTTATAAGATTGAAAAACTTTCTCGCGTTTGCTTGCGCTCAATAAACTCCATTTTATCATTTTCAGTTTCCACTGACTTCATTGGAATACATTTTCGAGGATAATAGCAGTTTTTATGCGGACATTTTTAAATATATTTGTCATACCAAAAAATAAGCAAACAAATAATTTATTGCACAAATTTATTCGCTTTAAACATTAATATCTAGTTGATGTTGTTATTTGTGTAGATGTTGGTTTAGGAAAAGTTGACATTAAATTCTCATTGAATACGACTCGTGTCGATTTTTGACAATATTCATAAAATTGCCAGTGAACTTGAACAAATGAAATGTTGAGCTATTTTTATTGTATGGTATTCCAAAAATAGTTTTTACAAGAACGAGGTAATTTCGGCAAAATGTCTTTACAATAAGTGAATTTAAATTTACATTACATGTGAATTTTTTCCATATAACTGAATCCACCAACGAAGAATAAAAAAATCAATATTTTTCTATGCGTAAAGTCTCAATTTAGGTGGATTTTCATGTTATCATGCCTAAATAGTTTATGAATTGAATACAAAAAAAAAATCTTTACCTGAATAACTGTTTTTCTGGGCACATGAGTTTGTTGCTGTGCTTGTTGAAGCAATGTCTGATGTTGTTGTTGTGAATGTGTGAATGCTGTTTGCAGTGGAATTGACAGTGGTAGTTTGGTTGTTAGTTTTTCCAAATGTTGTTGAGCATTATTTGTATTGTTAGCTCGAACGAGATCTAGTGCCAATAAGGCTTTTGTATTTGGCGCGCCTGGTGTAAAATATTGATGATGATTTTGTTGTTGAATGTTTTTGTTTTTATCGATGGCCAATGGGTGAACAGCATCGACCAGTGGTGGTCGAAATATGGCTGTGGGTAAATTAGCGGATTTATTTTTATTGTTGTCCAATTTCTTTTTACTGTGCGAGGCAGCCAATCGCTTCCAAGACAAAGCATTGATGAACAACGAATGCTTTTTCAGATTTTTCTCTAGTGCATTCTTCTCGGATAGGATTCGAGCCGTGTCATTTCGATCGGCATTATTGTTATTATTGTTAATGCTATTATTGTTAGTTATGTTGTTATTCGTGACGTTACTGGTGAGATTACTGTTGTTGTTGTTATTATTTCCTGCCCTGGGAGCTAGGTTCGAGCTATTTCCATTATGAATGGTGTGTGTATGAAGGTGAGAATGATGGTTGTTTTGAGTTTGACTCAACATTATGTTCCCACTGTTGTTAGGCACTTGACACAGTGACGATTTGCTGTTTTCCCGATTTTTTACATTGTTTAGCTGCTCGTATGAGTAGTTATTCAACGGGGGATAGTCGGCCGAACCAGCTGAACTAAGTGTGCCATGATTGTGGTATGTCGAATAAACAGGTCGCCGTTCGCGAGGACTAAAGCTTAATACAGTACCCATTTTCCTGTTACAAATGATTTTTAAATCTACTTTTTTAAATTTTATATCGAATGGTGAGTCGTACAAATCTCGTGAGAGTATATATGTAAAAAAAAATTACGATTTAGGCACACAGCAATCCAAATTGCCATTTAATTCTCTCGCAAACGTTGATTTTTTTCTTCAATATTTTAAGTTTTAAAAGTTAAATTAATTAATATATGTGCACAATCAATAGCGAAATTCAAAACACTTTATTTCCCGAATTGATGGAAAAAACTGCTTTTTTCCCAAATCTATTGCGCATAAAAATGGATTTTACAAAACTTGAAAATCAGAAACTTTTCAGTTCTCCTGTTGTTCCAACTAAAACTGCACAAATCCAAAAGCTGCGACCCCATTTAAATTCATCACTTCACTAATTTAATTTAGCTCTAATCTATCTTTTTCGATTTTTCTAATTTGTTTCAAATCTTTAGTTTTTTCACTTTTCAACTGGAAAAACATCCACCATTATTATTTGGGGGTCTTCGCTACTGAAAACACACATTCAGGCGCAAATTTGTCTGCATACACAATGTGTGCATCAGGATATTCAAATTTGTTTTGTTGCCCAGACAATATACACTTTTGTTGCGTTTTGAATTGATCAAAACATATTTAAAAATATTTTATTTTCAGGACTCGATGAAAATATGATGAGAAAAATAATTTCTCTGATTCGTCTCGCTATTGGTATCGAGTTCAATCGGAGCTAGTGCACAACAAGCACAGTGCGAACTATGTACGTGTTGTAAACGAGGGTGCGAAGATTGTTCCATCATAAATACATACAAAGCTGTGATTGTATTGGTGAAAACGCTTATGGAATTTTTCATGTCTTCCTTTCTCTTCTATAGAGCGCAACGTTAATATAATTTGGATTCATGTGAAATTATTCTGGTGGTGGGCATTGTATGGATCGATTTGTTTTCCTGCGCCTGCGCCGTTAAAAAATTACGAATATGGCACGAAACCATTCGAACAAATATGAATTACTATCTTGTGTGGACTGTCGTCAACCCTATTCCATTTACCACTGTTTGATATCGGGAGACGATATGTAAATGAGAAAATAGAAGTAGAACCTCCTGAAGACTCAAACATGGACGAACATATGACGTTAATGCAAAAAAACAAAGACATTCACAAACTAAAGCAGCATCAACAATGTACGACAAAGCGACAAGGGGTTCAAATGGGAAATATTTTAAATGAAATAGACACAGCTTAACTGCTTGAGCATGATAAATAAGAGACACAGGACAAATTATTTATATACTATAGTCATTTATTATAGTTTATTTATTATTTTCTTTTATGGAACAAATACGTATCGGTTTCATCATATTTACCAAAAAAAGTGGTACTACCATTTCCAAGACTTTTTTTCCCATTTTAATACCATATGGTTGAATTAATGGCAGTATTAAAAATGTATTTGGTTTGGTTCACAAAATACATTCTTTATGCTTAATTTTATGAAGCATTTGCGAAGAAATCAATAGCCAACGACGCATATTAAATAATTGAAAATGTGCAGTTATCCTAATTCTTTTCTGACGTTTATTTCTGTTTATGTTTAGTTTTTCTTTCCACTCTGAAAAGATGACATCTTACAATGTTTGCTTCAAAAAACCGAATTTATCATTTATTAAAATTGTGTACAATATAAAATGCAAAAATACGTAAAAAAACAAAATGGTCACAGTTTATCTTGAATAATTTTCAATTTTGTAGGTCTTGATTTCTTGATTAAGCCATTCAATCCAGTTTTCATCTACAGTTCGTTTGAATGCGACTTCCTGAAAAACGTCAGAGCGAGATTGTTCTTCAAACTTAAGTTTCGTGAATAGATTTTGACTGGCAATATTTTCATATCCGATTTTTGAAACGAATTCTTGAACGCCAAGTTCAGATTGTCCATATTTTAGCATGAGAAGTATAGCTTCATTTCCGAGGCCTTTTCCACGTGCTTCCGGCTCAGCAATCATTATTTCTGCCTCTGCGATGATTGTTTCGTTGTTTAAATCTTGCTGAGCACATTCATTATCGAAGTCAGATAAAAAATAATCTTGATTCAAGAATAAATTCGTATCGCCGATTAAGGCACCTGCAAATGACAATAATAATTAGTAAGTAGTTAATTCATTTTGTCCTAGACCATTTTCACAAACCTATTTCATCCGTTGTTCGCTCATAGATTTCTTTTTCTAACACCAAAAATGTACATTCTGAAAGAAAAAAAATTGTTTATTGTATAAAGAAATGAAACGCATACATTTTTTTCAATAAAGACTTTCTCAACGTATCAATTTCAAAAACAAGCATTTGTGATCGGTATGGACCAGTGGCGACAGTGTGATGATGACAGTTCACAGTTTGGTTGTGTGACATATTCAATTTCACAATCGAACGAAATTCACAATCGAATCAATATACTTGGTGTTTTTTTTTTCTTCAGAAATAGTTGTTATTTGTGCCGACGAACGTTGATTTTTGTTGTATTCACACAATTGTTGAGATCGAAATCGAGATGTTTTTTGTTGTCAATTTTCCATTTGATTCTCTTTTTTTTTTGAAATAACAGAACATTTACAAAATGTCGACTGCAAAATTCATCGCTCAACCGAAAAAAAAAACAAATTCAGTTTTGCTTACATCAAACATAGAATATTTACTGTCGATTGCTTTAGCTGATTCAAATCATGACAATACTACACATTGTATGCTTGGATTTTTTTTTCATATCTAGAACAAAGGTTGAATTTTTGTTGAAGTGAGTTTCAATTGTTTGGATTGCGTTTACAATGGGACGAAAAAGAAAAGGAACTGGTCGTATTTTCGGATCTAGGCCAAAAAATCGCAAGGTTCTGCAAGAAGAGGTCGGCTATTAAAGAAGAATATCATGACACAGTGTTTCCGTGGATAGAAAAAATTAGTATTGAATCCACAAAAATGTGCGAACTAGCCTCATTACTATTTTTGCTAGGGGGCAGACACGTGGAATAGGATTAGACTTTTAATGTAAAGATTCGAGAAATTGCAATGAAATAGCAACGCCTGTGAATTGATTCGCGTGGAATAGCGAAACAGTGCATGGAATAGCAAAAATTGTTTCACTTCAAATCCATTTGACATTTCTTTAGTGGAATAGTGCGGAATAGCAGAATTAACATTTTTGATGGAAACAGTGCATGGAATAGGAAAAATAGTTTCGATTTCACATTTGTGTTTTTGGATTAGTGGAATAGCTGGATTAGTAATTTATATAGTGGATTCAGAATTTATTCTTGGTGTCTCTCCTCCTAGTATTTTTGAAAAGATTAGAGAAGAAAATGAGAAGGCAAAACGAACGAATGATTGGACATTTTTCGACGATGGTAATGATTAAATTGTTTTTTTTTTAATTGTTTGTTAATTTTTCAGCATATTATTTCTAAATCTTATAAAAAAATTCTCACTGTTTTTTCTTAGGTGATGGAATTCACATAATTGAGGAAAGCTTTTATGCCGTTCTCGAATCGAGAATCTCCATACATACAAAGAAGAAGAAAGCATGGATCCGTGGTTTAAAGAAACATTCAAAGGATTGGAATGCGACAATCGATTCAAATGGCCAAACAACAATTATTTTGGCAACCATAAGAAGTACAAGTATCAACAGTACGCACGATATGTCATAACCAACCTCACCACACATGATGAAAAACGTCTTAATGAGTTTTTAAGTTTGAAAGTTTGGGAATTCAACGGGGACAATGTTGATCCAGACTACGTTTTTGATGACATTGATATAAAAAATGCAGTAAATTGGGCAATCTATCGTTACAATTCAACCTGTGATAATGTTGACAGATTGAAGAAGTGCTATCGCTTGCTGAGTTGTGCAAGAGACATTGGCGGACCAGCTGACGACAACATCGCAAAAGATACAAAAGAAAATTAGTTCTCATCGTTGCCAATGTGGCTTGAGATGCAAGCAAGATCGTTATCACAATTGGATGCAAGACAACCGCGATATAATTCCTGAAGACTGGGTGTTACCAAATCAAAATGGTTACCAGGAATGAAAACCTGGAATGCTACGGTCCGACGACATATTGACTCGGGTAAAGAGGTATGTGATTTCTCAGAAAGGCATCCCATTTTTATCATGTAATAAATTATTCTATCAAATATGTTGTTTCTTTTTCGCTTACAGATGAATTTTAAAATAAGTAGCAAAAAGTACCACTATATGACAAAACAAGGAGTGCGAAACTCAAAAGCCAAATGATGGATGCGTCAGTTTGTTGCATTTGAACAGAATGATCGAAATAACCGAACTCGTTACGAGCGAATGCCGAATCCAAAGTCAGAAAACTGGAAAGATTACATAACTCATCGTCTGACAATTATGAAGAGAGCCATTGCAGTACACACGACCGAAAAGTATACCCGGCTACACGACCGAACAATTCGATAAATACATTGAATCAAATCGTGTATGCGATAAGATTGCTGCCATGCTGGTAAGAACATAGTACATATGTGGTTAAAAATTGAATTAAATTGATCCTTGTTTCGCAATAGACAAATCGCAAGCCATGCATCATGGGAGCAGCTCAAATATCGCCGAACTCGCCGATAAAGATAAAAAAGAACATAAGATGTCCAGGCAATAGAAAAATGATAAAAAGTTTCAAGAAAATGAAGGGAAATGTGGTTAAAATGGTGAACGAGTACAGAACATCAAAAATGTGCGCACGTTGTTTTCGACCATTCCCTGTGGAAACATTGAGCCATCGTTTCAAGATGTGTGTATGGTGTATGCCAGATGATTGGCCAGCTACTGACGAAAATTGAAACCATGAAGAGCAAGCGAGAGCTGTTATAAGAACGACGAGATGTGCGAGAGGCAATGATTGTGAATCCATTGGTTTTGTGTCTAAGATGAAATGTTTTCGAAAAAACTGGCAACAAAACGCGGCATACGATGCGGATTACAGCGTTTTTCAGCTCCCAGACAATATTCGTGACGAAAATGTCATGGATTTCACAGAAGATTCACAAATGCCCAACGACTATGAAGACGGTTTCCCATATGTGGCAATACTGAAAACTATTTGGCACCGAGACATTTCGGCTGCAAAGTTAATCATGTACCGAGGTTATTGCTTATTGAATTCGATTTGAACTTCAAATTTAGAAAGTGATCGAAAATGATGCATGTAATACTAGCATGCTAATAACAAATTTGTGTGTGATTTCTTTTTGTAGGACATTGTGAACTGTTTGGATGTGATCTCCATCCCAACTTCACCGTTGAACGACTTGCATATCCAATATGGATTCCAATCGTCTAAACGAATAGAAATAAGATTGAAATGTTGAATTAAAAAATTAATGTAATAATATATTACTTGCAACTGCTTACGATTTAGTGAACCAGGTTTTGTCGGATGAAGTTTAGAAGAGTAAGTATATGTATTGATTGTCACATGTCTAATGGACTTTCAATGCAATATGCGAGTTTTTCGATAATAATTTCATGAATAAAAAAAGAGGCTTACGTACGCAAGCTAACTCTTCCGCATGGAACCGAAATTTTGGGAATAAACTGTAATTATGGTTCATGTATGGTTGCAGTAATCTAAATTACCGTGAGAACTTGTGAATATTATTTTCTTATCAAAATAAATAATCACATCAAGTTTAAATAAATTTCAATCAAAAAAAAAATAGCCTGTTCAAAGTTTCACATCATTACCACGGTACCACAAAGGCATGTCTTACATACAAAAAGGAAATTTTTTGTGGATTTTTGTATGAAAAGTCTGTGAAAAATTGATTGCATCTTAAAACTAACATCAGATTCGGGTTTCTCGTGCCAAAAAACCGTTCAAATTGAAAGAATATCGTTTTAAGGCATTTTTCTCATAAGTGCCTCTTCAGAGTCTAAGTTTTACATCGATCAATCAATGTCGTTGAAAATTTGACCAGATCTATTCCTCGTAGTGCCCAATCATCCCGTAAAGTCAGATTTTAAATTTCATGTCTGAGCACGAAACCATCGTGTCACCAAAATGGTTGAAAAAAAATCAAAAAATGTATGGATGTGGGTACTCCATTCGGACCAAAAAAAATTACTCTGGTCAACAGATATTGCTCAAAAACTAATCAGCACGTCTCCTAGTAGTCCCAAATCATCCTGCAATGTCAGAATTTGAATTGAGTTTTTGGAAGAAGACTTATCGCGGTAACAAAAAAAGGAGTCACAGGACACAGGACACATCACACACAGCGACGCACATAAATATGCCCCAAAATCATCTCCAATCGTGTTGTCTATATGAAATATGCATAGAAAACATGTTTTGGGGTGACTTATACAATACCTTTTCTACACTAGGTGTGCGGAAAAGTAAAATGTATGGATGTGGGTACTCCATTCGGCCCAAAAATAAAGAGGCTTACGTACGCAAGCTGACTTTTCCGCATGGAACCGAAATTTTGGGAATAAACTGAAATGATGGTCTATGTATGGTTGCAGTAACTTAAATTACCGTGAAAACTTGTGAATATTATTTTCTTATCAAAATAAATATCCATACTAAGTCTAAAGAAATTTCAATCCAAAAAATAGCCTGTTCAAAGTTTCACATCATTACAGTACCACAAAGGCAAGTCTTTCATACAAAAATGAATTTTTTTTTCGATTTTTGTATGAAAAGTCTGTGAAAAATTGATTGCATCTTAAAACTAACATCAGATTCGGGTTTCTCGTGCCAAAAACCCACTACACAGTCTTTCAGCGTTCAAATTGAAAGAATATCATTTTAAGGCATTTTTCTCATAAGTGCCTCTTCAGAGTCTAAGTTTTACATCGATCAATCAATGTCGTTGAAAATTTGACCAAATCTATTCCTCGTAACGCCCAATCATCCCGTAAAGTCAGATTTTGAATTTCATGTCTGAGCACGAAACCATCGTGTCACCAAAATGGTTGAAAAATGATCAAAAAAGTAAAATGTATGGATTGTGTCCATTCGGACCCAAAAAAATTACTCTGGTCAACAGATATTGCTCAAAAACTAATCAGCACGTCTCCTAGTAGTCCCAAATCATCCTGCAAAGTCAGAATTTGAATTTAGTTTTTGGAAGAAGACTTATCGTGTTAACAAATTTTGCACGCCACTGGACACAGGACACATCACACACAGCGACGCACATTAATATGCCCCAAAATCATCTTCAATCGTGTTGTCTATATGAAATATGCATAGAAAACATGTTTTAGGGTGACTTTAATTTTTTGGCCTAATACAATACCTTTCCGACACTAGGTGTGCAGAAAAGTAAAAGACACATTGTGGATATACGCTAAGGCTTAAGAACAATGTAACCGATTTTATGTGTATCGTGAAATAAACATTCTACGAATTGGTTTCGTTATTTATTTATGTTCCAATATTTTACTCTCGCATTTCAACATACAGTGCCAATTCGGCATTTCATAAACACATACAGGACGACATTGCTTTATGAATTAACGTATACGATTCACACAGCATCAAACACTCGATGCTTTTGGTCGTAGCAGATTTGTGTCAAAACTGTTTTTTGAACAACACCGAAAAAGATCACACATTTATATTTTGTTGACAAGTTTGTGTTGGTTCCACGCTCGCACACATGTTGATTGTAGGTTTTGATTGTTTGTAGCTTGAATGTAATATGATATTTAACGAATCGATTTTGTAATCTGCATTAGTTTGGAGCGTGTTTTTTTAACTTTCGAACACACATATTTGAAGTAAGAATTGTGGAGTAAGAAAAAGTAGAAAGTGCGTGTATTGTGACATTTGGATTCAGTTCTGTTGATCAAGAAATATGTTGCCAAAATTGTGTCTTTGATTGTTGCAACCATTTTAACAATCATTTCTTAAAAAAGATAATATTAAAAGCAAAGAAGAGTCGGAGAGTGAGAAATTTTAAAGCGTTCGAGAATATTTCAATATGGCACGCATCAAAGAGTTGAATATAACAGTGAATGGATCGTTTTACAATTTTTGGCAAATCTGAATTAGCTTGTGAATGTGAAATCAGGAAACTACAGATTTGCCGAATATTGGATTGCTTTGTCAGCATATAGTGGGTATAAATAGAAGTCAATTTCAAATGAGAGCATCAGAATGGATAAAAAAAAAATTAGAGGTGAGACGCATTTCGAATATACTTATCAGTTTGAGTATTTGGTTTGGTGCATTTCATTTGTAATTGTTAATTCAATTTCTATTTGAATTTCAGTTAATTTTTACGGCACTTTTGCAGATTTTTTTTCTCGATAGTGAATAATATTGGCTGAAATTGAAAAGTAAAGTTGACTAAGCATTTCAGAGAGGTGAGAGATGTTTGTACATATTGTTTGCCACTATCGTCTTGTGTATATCGGTCGATTTTTTTATCGGTGTGTCATTCATTGTGTTAATTACATTTTTATTCATTGTGTTAATTACAGCTTAACACTTATCAACAAAATAACTGATCTAAAAACAGGCTACAATGATTTGCAATTTGATTTCGTTGCTGATCTTATTAAAGAAGCAACAGCCATATGAACGTAGGCATCAACAATGGTGACTTCAGCTTTTTTGCCAATAGCGTGGAAGAAGTCAAGTGCTAGCGAAGAACAACACAACAAAGGTAATTATTGTTAGATGAATCAGGCATCGAAATACGTAATACTTTTTACCTAATTCAACACTGTAATCGAGCGTATTATCAGTGAACGATAATTTATCACCCAATTTCACGAATTCCAAACGAAGTGACATTGTCATCAATATTTACTGTATTCCATTTGATATTTTATTACTTTTCCGCACATACCTAGTGTGTATTAGAATCGGTCGAAAAATTAACACCCATCAAAAATTTGTTTTCCGGGTGTTTTCGGGGCCAGGGAACACGAATCTAGCGTTTTTTCGATGTACGAATGTATGTGCGTACCCTGTACCTTGTACCCTGTACGCAAAAATTTGTTAACACGATAACTTTCAAACAAGAAAAGTAATTCAAAATATCACGGGATGGTTGGGGCTGCCGAAGAATAGAAACCATTAGATTTTGAGCGACTTTGGTTAATAGAGTGAAGTGTCATGTCTGGTGTGTGAATATGACATTAGTTCTGCGATACAAATATAATTCTACACACTTTTCAAAAGTTTGAAGAGATTTCAATGCATAATGTCCTAGAGTTTTGCATGAAGATGCCCTAACAAATCTTTTCAAAATTGAAGTGCGGCAAAATTGGCGTGCAATAGAGGGTCCAGAACCACAATTGAATATTCACGAGTCAAGAACAATTTAGCTACTTGGCTCAGCAACAGATCCCGCCTAAATTGGCAGGGTACGTTCTCATGTGAGCAAACAAGATACCACGTTCAATTCACATGTTCAAAACTCACGGTCGAATTAGCCAAATTACCCAAGGAAGACCTCCGGATGGTTATTGGTTTACTGACCGGACACGCCAGGGTCAATTATCATATGAGAAATTTAAATCTCAGAGATGACCCGGACTGCAGACTGTGCGGTGGAGAAGTGGAAAAAACTGCCCATCTCATAGATAGATGTCCAGTATTGGATACTATACGGGCTGATTTCACGGGCTGGCGATCCTACCCTTTGATTCATGCACCGAATGTATTCAAACCTTTTTCATACGGGCATGCGATGAAAATCCATGCCTCAGAAACATTTTTGGATAAAAGACTATTTTCGTGTATTCAATACACACACGGGCGTCTTGCAATAAGTTATGAAACTTGAGCAACGAGTAACTATATTAAAACTTTATTTTAAATAGGACACTCCCCGTTTTAATCCAATAATCCAAACGGGTACCTACCGAACAAAATTTTGGATTTTTTGCTCAAAAACGAAAATTTTGTATGGAAGGTATAACTCAATTGTATTGAAATTTCTTCAAACTTTCAGAACTTTAGCTTTTTGTGAAAAAAATAACCTCTGGAAATTTTCACATGATTATGATTCCATTGAAAAGTCTATCAAAAATTATTTTCAATCGCAAAACTTAAATCAGTTTTCTCATGAATTCATATTTACGGTAAAAGATACGTAATAAATGCATGTTGTGGATCACAGTGCGGAAAAGTTCATCTTACGGATGTAAGACATTTTTTTTACACTAAAATCAACTATGGATAACATGGATTTTACAGTTCTAATTTATATATTGATTTCAATTCATAAGTCATTTTATTTTCGCATCCATTCTAACTGATTTGTTTTCTCTTTTTTCATTCCATTGTAGTTTACAATTGTAAATTAATTTACTACCGAAGCCGAAGTCGAAAAAAACACCAAAGCTGAAGCCAAATATGGAGCCAAAGCCGGAGCAACCATCAAAGACTAAACCACAACAATACATGAAATTGATACTTGCAAAGAAGTATTTGTTGTATATGGAAATACAATGATGCACATTGTGCTTGAATTTACTAACTTTTTTTTTTGATTTATATGCAGATCAACTTTGTAAAAAAGACCAAGTAGTTCCAATGGGAGACACATCAAAACGTACGAAACGCAAACGCGAAACAATTTACGAACAATTTCATCGAGAAAGAAAGACAAGATCGAGAGAATCGTGAGCTGTACGCAATTATGCCATCACCAAAAGGGTCACACTGGCTGAACTATATTAAGGATCGAGTTAAGATGACCAAACATGGAATCGAAGCTTACTCGACTGCAAAGTACACTAGACTCGCCTTGGACAAATACATCAGAAGCAACAAAATTATCGATGGATTTGTGAACAAGATAAAGAAAGAATGAACCGACTCTGTTATTCCATGGTGCTGATGGCGAAGTACCACCTGATTGCCCGATAAGAATTAAAATACACATGCGGTGTCCGGGTGTACGTAAACTGATGCAGGCATATAAGAAGCGAACATACATGCGACGAATGGGGAACATCTCAAACAGATGCAAGATGTATGTGCCGATTCCAAAACCAGCCAAAATCGGCCAAGTTTGGCAAGGCAGATACATCTACATATCGACAACGCACATTTGACGGAGCATTTGAAATAGAAGAGGAGCTAATGTCAAGAGTAAAATCTTACTACAAAAAATGCAATTATACCTTGAATGCTCTGTGAATTGGTATCTTGACGTCGTGGCTGCTAAGAAAATTCTACTGAAAGGTAAGGATATTGATGCACAATTGTGATTGAATGATTGCAAAAAAATATTCATTTTTTCGATTGTTCAGGACAATGGAAATTGCTTGGACTTTCAATAACTGCTGCAATCAACCGATATTGGAATCAAATTAACGCCGATGCCGCCGCCTTCGACGACGATAACGACGTGGACATATCCGAGCCCAAGTTCGAATAGCAGCCAACTAATTATCACAATACCATACAATAAAATAAAAGGCATCAAAAGTAACATTTGTTACGTAACTGTTTTCCTGAATATGTGGGTTAGTTATGCACAAAAAAAGTCATTTCTCATTTGGTTGAGATGGCTGTGTAACAGAAAACGGAGCGTTTTTTCATTGTAAGTATCATTCGATTTTGAAAGCAGGGGAAGTGTGACCATCAATCGATGCGTTGTATAAATGCCATTAAATAACATAGAATGTTGCCTAATTTGAATAAAGAAATACCATTTTTTAATTACAGATACTAGTATGGGCAATACTCTAGTGTACATTCTGAAAAAAAATTGTTACATTTTATTCAAAATAATAATATAAATGAAACATACTATCTTCGTCATGTCTCCATGTTTCTTGCATATCGTATTCCTGATCTATTTATTTGACGATTGGATTAGAAATTGAAATAAGTTTATTATGCTTTTAATAAAATAAAACGATTATTCAAAATGATTCAATTCTTCAAACAAGACAAAAATACGAACCTAATGTCAATGGCTCGGATGCAGTTAACTTTAATAGTTCTGGATCGCACATCCATTTATGATACTTCTGAACATGTTTTGTTTCATACGGAATCAAAATTACATTTGCTCCGATGATTTTAATATCAGCGTTTTCGCGCATTATAAATAAGTAAAGAATTATTAATCACAACTTAAGTATTTCACGTTTTTACAGATTTAAAAAAATGATATCTTTCAATTTAGAGAGCATAAAATTCTGTTTTAAATTGAAACTTCCCGAATCACCGATTGATATTGACACTTCCCGAAGCAAAAAACTCTTTGAAGCAAAAATTGTCTTATGTCTAAATATTGAAATAGTATTATTGATGTGAACCGAGCCTTATGACATTTGACGTTCATTTCATTGATTTTCGAAATGTCATAAACGCCGCTTCATTCATACCGAGAACACGTTTGGCGTTGTAAATACCAAGTCAACAAATCAATCTTACATTTTATTACGATATAAATACTACAGCAGTGTAAATTCCAATTCAACGCTTCAATTATTTTGCTGAAAATTCATATTATTTTCGATATACGTGCATTTTCTATCGATTTGATCCGAATTTTTCAACACTTGACGGTATTTTCTTCCTCTATTTACCGGCTTATCTAATCGACTTTCTATTGGTTTTAATGAGAAGTAAGCCATTGTATGTGAATAAAGTGCATTAACACAAAAATAGCAATGATACTAAAACATTATTGTTGTATTTTCAGTTTGGTTGGTATTCAACGGCGCATTTCACAAGGTTTGAAAGTGTTGCAATACTACACTACCAAAAATTGGACCTTTAAGAATGAGAAATTCTTACGCATGAAAGATGTCTGAGAAAGACAAAGAGATCTTTTATTTCAGCGTAAAAGACGTAAATCGTGCAGATATTGTTGAATTCAAGACAGTGGTGTGAGTAAGCTTGAAAATCAATAAAAACTACCATCGTACAACAAAGATTTCGGCAATGGCCTCAAGCATTTGGCCAATCAATACACAAACAACGTCACCAATTCAAATACACATCCTAACAAACACCCCTTGTGGAAAAAAACGTATGGCATACAAC